CCTGAAAGGAGTCACTCGCCTCAACGTTTACGTCTTGAGGGTTACTCAAGCGATTAGCCATCGACTGTAACTAACTGCATCCCATTCATACTGTATCTGCCAGCGAGGTCCACTTGACAACGACACCATTGCCTCAAGGAGCTGGATTTCTCACTCCAGCAAATGGAATGAGAAACCCACTCCATTGGCTTTGTTATATTATTTTGTGATTGGAAATTGGATAGTAAGTGTTGGGTGTGGGGTATTTACTTACTTACTTCCTTAGGTGATCCTAAGGATCTGTTCTTGGGTTTGGAATAGAGCAACTGCTTTGGGAGATGGTGGTTGGGCATCCGGACAACGTGGCCGGTCCAGCGGAGTTGATGGCAGAGGACCATCACTTCAATGCTGGTGGTCTTTGCTTCTTCCAGCGTGCTGACATTTGTGTGTCATGAATGACTTTTCAATGACTTTGAAGCATAGGTTCTTTTTATTGCAATTTCTAGTGTGAGAGGGTATATCAAATTACAGAAAAACATTTAGACCCGTGTTTCTCAACCTGGGGGTTGGGACCCCTGTGGGGGTCGTGAGGGGGTGTCAGAGGGGTCGCCAAAGACCATCAGAAAACATAGTATTTTCTGTTGGTCATAGGGGTTCTGTGTGGAAAGTTTGGTCCAATTCTATCGTTGGTGGGGTTCAGAATGCTATTTTATTGTGAATAAACTATAAATTCCAACAACTACAATTCCCAAATGGCAAGGTCTATTTTCTCCAAACTTTACCAGTGTTCACATTTGGGCATATTGAGTATTTGTGCCAGGTTTGATCCAGATCCCTCATTGCTTGAGTCCACAGTGTTCTCTGGATGGAGGCGTACTACAAATACAACCTCAACATCAATGCCCACCAAACCCTTTCAGTATTTTCTGTTGGTCGTGGGAGTCCTGTGTGCCATGTTTGGTTCAGTTCCATTGTTGGGGTTCAGAATGCTCTTTGATTGTAGGTGAACTGTAAATCCCAGCAACTACAACTCCCAAATATCATGGCCTATTTCCTCCAAGCTCTATCTGTGTTCCCAGTTGGGCATATGGAATATTCGTGCCAAGTTTGTCCAGATCCATCATTGTTTGAGTCCACAGTGTTCTCTGGATGTAGGCGTACGACAACTCCCAAACTCAACATCAATGCCCACCAAAACCTTTCAGTATTTTCTGTTGGTCGTGGGAGTCCTGTGTGCCACGTTTGGTTCAGTTCCATTGTTGGTGGAGTTCAGAATGCTCTTTGATTGTAGGTGAACTATAAATCCCAGCAACTACAACTCCCAAATGTCAAGATTCTATTTTCCCCAAACTCCACCAGTGTTCACATTTGGACATATTGAGTATTTGTGTAGAGTTTGGTCCAGATCCATCTTTGTTTGTGTTCACAGTGCTCTCTGGATGTGGGTGAACTACAACTCCAAAAGCAAAGGACACTGCCCACCAAAATCTTCCAGTATTTTCTGTTGGTCATGGGAAAACTGTGTGCCAAGTTTGGTTCAATTCTATTGTTGGTGCGGTTCAGAATGCTCTTTGATTGCAGGTGAACTATAAATCCAAGCAACTACAACTCCCAAATGACAAAATCAACTTTTTTTTAGTGAAGGACATACATTGGGTTGTTAGGTGTTTTGTGTCCAAATTTGTAGTTGTAGTTTACCTACATCCAGAGAGCACTGTGGACTCAAACAATGATGAATCTGGACCAAATTCAGCATGAATCCTCAATATGTCCAAATGTGAACATTGGTGGAGTTCGGGGAAAATAGATCTTGACATTTGGGAGTTGTAGTTGCTGGGATTTATAGTTCACCTCCCACCAAAGAGCATTCTGAACTCCACCAATGATGGAATTGAACCAAACTTTGCACACAGGATTCCCATGACCAACAGAAAACACCTAGAAGGCTTTGGTGGGCACTGACCTTGAGTTTGGGAGTTGTAGTTTACCTACATCCAGAGAGCACTGTGGATTCAAACAACGATGAATCTGGACCAAATTCAGCACGAATCCTCAATATGTCCAAATGTGAACATTGGTGGAGTTTGGGGAAAATACACCTTGACATTTGGGAGTTGTAGTTGCTGGGATTTATAGTTCACCTCCCACCAAAGAGCATTCTGAACTCCACCAATGATGGAATTGAACCCAACTTGGCACACAGGGATTCCCATGACCAACAGAAAACACCTAGAAGGGTTTGGTGGGCATTGACCTTGCGTTTTGGAGTTGTAGTTTACCTACATCCAGGCAGCACTGTGAGCTCAAACAACGATGAATCTGGACCAAATTCAGCACGAATCCTCAATATGTCCAAGGGTGAACATTAGTGGAGTTTGGGGAAAATAGATCTTGACATTTGGGAGTTGTAGTTGCTGGGATTTATAGTTCACCTTCAATCAAAGAGCATTCTGAACCCCACCAACGATGAAATTGAACCAAACTTGGCACACAGAACCCCCATGACCAACAGAAAATACTGTTTTCTGATGGTCTTTGGTGACCCCTCTGACACCCCCTCACGACCCCCCCCCCAAGGTAGAGAAACACTGCTCTATAGGATTCAATCTTTCCAAACATGGAAGCAGATCCTCTGAACACTTGCTACCATATTCCAGCTCTGAATGACAAGGAAGTCGGTGCCATTTGTTCCCTGTTTCCGCTGAAACGCATTGAGCGCAACCCAAGAAAAAGACTCCTCAATTAAAAACCAACCTGATGGGACTCGGCGAGACTCCCCCGCTGCCGCCGACGGTTGCGTAACGCCGTGTTGACCTGCGATTCTCCTTGTCTCGAAATGGCAAAGCCCCATTAATTAAACTGAAGCTTTCTCAGGCAGCGATGACAGTGACAAGTGGGTGCAATCCTCCTTTAAAAAGCGGGGGCACGAAAGAGGCCGTCGGATTTCATAACGCACACGCAATGGCAGTCATGCATACTTCATTGGTATGAACTGCAGAAGGCCTGAATTGGCTTCTGAGGAGAACATGAAGGATCTGGGCAATGCTGATGAAGTCAGTGGGAACTTTTGGAGGGTCGACTCCAAGGGGAGAGGACCCTTCGTTCCCACCAAAGAGGGAACGCTACTTTGGCGAGCCTTCAGAGAAGCCTGATTCCAGCAATTTTATTAATATTAAAAATTGAAATGAGACTCTTGCCAAAGTGAAGAAGAGGCATCGAAGTTTAATGAGCAATTCAGCTGAAGCAGATGCAATGCAGTGATAGCTCACATGCAAGGCATACCAGTACATAGATCAGAGTCATTTTTATAGTAATTTCCAGGTTTGAAAGTTCCAAAACTCCTGCCCTCTGCCCTCCGCCCAGCTTGCAGGTGATTGGCTGATGGGATTCCAGCTGGGAGGAGGCGCAGCCGCCCTCCCTGCGTCAGGGCCAATCACAGAGCTCCTCTGCTGCACAGGAGCCAATGGGAGAGCTTTCCCTGCTTCAGCGCCTTGACAAATCAGGAGGAGGGAGGCGGGATGAAAACAGAAACAATGAGCCGGCAAATGAATCAATGGGTGCGATGCCCAGTTTATTGTCCTTGAGTGGAGTTGCGATGATCCTTGATTACTTTCATCCTGGTCTTCCTGCCACAATCAGATAAGGCACAAAAGGGGAGGCTGGGGAAATGTCCTGTTCTGAATGAAGTAAACAAAATTGGGAAGGCGGCCCCGTGAAGGGCATCTCGCTCCTATTGTGAAATGGCCAAAAGTCTGCAGAAGGAGATCCCAGCCTGATGGCCTCAATCCTGGAGCCACATAGGGATTCCAGGTCTTATTGTCCTCGCCAGAGTTCTGGGATATGAGTTTCTTTGGTTGCCTCTAATTGCCCCTTCAACAGCTGGCCGCTTCCTGGATTGATTTACCGAAGGGGAGGGGGAAGGAGTGACAGGTTTGGGTGTCAGGGCAAGAATAAGGAAAATATATTGGGGAATACAGAAATCCACAGAAATTCATATCAAACACCTCCTTTCCCATCCCACCCTGCCAAAGAAATTTAATGAAGAAATTATTTTCAAGCAATATGAGTCCATAGTTCATTTTGAGGGAAGTTCATGAGCGGGAAAGAAGTCCTTGTGAGTCCAAAACATTAGGCAGAGCTCTTAAAGCCCAAAAGGAAAGTCTGTTGATTTCCCACTGGGTGGGATTCATTGGGTGGAATTCTGCCACGCTGGGATCGAAGCTGGTCCTTGGGAAACTACAACTCTCATGAAGGGCAGAAGTCCCAAGATCCAGCCATTCCCCAAAAGCCTCGTGGGGTCCTTGTTAGTGCCTTGGCAATGTGACCAAGACTTAACCCCTACTGTGCAGTCTGGTGCCCTTGCCCTTTGCAGAACTATAAGTCACTATCCCTTATTTGGGGGGGGGGGTGCTCGACTTCACTGGCAGTCTGTGTGCATGACTGAAAGACCCTCAGGAAGGAGAAATGTTTCACCCATGCTCCCATTGTTGTGTTTTAGGGTTTCTGATGGGGGTCTCCTATGCGTATGCATGGCTTCTTTGGAACCTGGTGGAAATGAGTAGTGGAGTTGGGTGTCATCTGCGTAGAGATAGCACCGTACTCCAAAACTCCAGATGACCTCTCCCAGCGGTTTCATGTAGATATTGAATAGCATGGGAGAGAATAGATCCTTGCAGGACCCCACAGGTCAATGGACAAGTTTCAAATTTTAATTATTATTTCATTATTGGTTATTTTTATGACAGAACCAATTAGGAATTGTCGTTTATAATGAAATTTTGAGAGTTTTGTTAGAGTTTTGAAATTTTCACCACCAGAACTTTAGTTTTGTAAGTACTTTAGAACCATACATTGCCCAAGCCTAATGTTTAGTAAGCAAACACAGCACATCATCAGGTGGAAATGCAAACTGAGGAATTGGGAGATGAAAAGGGATGCCAATTTGGAGCGTAAACAAACTGCTACACTTGGTTGCAGCTCTGACTTGTGCTAATGCTTTTTTTCTTCTTTCCTTCCTTTAGGAATGAGATATAACATGGAGTCTCAGCCACCCAAAAAAGTAAGTTTCCTGCCCTCCTGACTTGTCTGCATTGCCGAATGTGGGTATGATGGCGGGTGTGTGGCACTGTGGCTGAAGAAAGAAGGTTAATGGCGCATCAACATTGTTGAATGAAGGCAGTTTGGCACCACCTTGAGTGTCATGGAATCCCGAGAGATGTAGTTTTACAAGGGATTCCATAGCATTGAGCTGAAATGGCAGGGAGAAGGTTTGAGGAAAAGAGACAAAAGAGAATCCCTTAGGTCTGTAAAAGCACGGTTTATTCTCGGTTGGCGCCAACCAGATATGGACCCTGCTGGTGTTCCAGAAAACAGGGTGCTGAACAAAAGAATTACCTTGGTCTATATATACTTTAAAATAATATGCATGTATCATACAAGCATCACAATGTGCATCACAAAATTCCACTTTTACATTGACTTCAATAGCATATTTTAACTTCAACACCTTCAATCTTCCATTGAGCACCTTTACCTAAAGAGCTGCTCATTAGTGGACCATAGCGCCAGAGTGTCTGCTACCGGCTACTGATAGCAACAAGAGCTTCCATCCATCTTGAGATAAGTCCCTCCTGAAGAAGCCTCTTGATATTATCAGTTTTATACTAATTTATGCAATGTATTGTCGAAGGCTTTCATGGCTGGAATCACTAGGTTCTTGTGGGTTTTTTCGGGCTATAGAGCCATGTTCTAGAGGCATATCTCCTGACGTTTCGCCTGCATCTATGGCAAGCATCCTCAGAGGTAGTGAGGTCTGTTGGAATTAGGACAATGGGTTTATATATCTGTGGAATGGCTGGGGTGGGGCAGGAGCTCTTCCCTGCTGCAGTTAGGTGTGAATGTTTCAGCTGATCACCTTCATTAGCATTTGAAGGCCTGCCTGAGCCTGGGAAAATCTCTTGCTGGGAGGTGTTAATCTGTGCCTGGTTGTTTCCTCTCTGTTGTTTTGCTGTTGTAATTTTAGAGTTTTTTAATACTGGTAGCCAGATTTTGTTCATTTTCATGGTCTCTTCCTATCTGTTGAAATTGTCCACATGCTCTAAAATTACAACAGCAAAACACCTCTCAACAAAAGATTTTCCCAGGCTCAGCCAGGCCTTCAAATGCTAATGAAGGTGGTCAGTTGAAACATTCACACCTAGCTCCAGCAGAGAAGCTCTTTGCCCCACCCCAGCCATTCCACAGATATATAAACCCATTGTCCTAATTCCAACAGACCTCACTACCTCTGACGATGCTTGCCATAGATGCAGGCGAAACGTCAGGAGAAATGCCTCTAGAACATGGCTCTATAGCCCGAAAAAACCCACAAGAACCTAGAATATTTTGGATTAACAGAACTCAAAAACCACTGGACGAATTGACACCAAATGTGGACACAAGACACCTAACAACCCAATGTATGTCCTTCACTCCAAAAAATGATTTTGTCATTTGGGAGTTGTAGTTGCTGGGATTTATAGTTCACCTACAATCAAAGAGCATTCTGAATCCCACCAACGATGGAATTGAACCAAACTTGGCACACAGTTCTCCCATGACCAACAGAAAATACTAGAAGGGTTTGGTGGGCAGTGTCCTTTGGTTTTGGAGTTGTAGTTCACTGTGGACTCAAACAATGATAGATCTGGACCAAACTCTACAGGAAGCCTCAATATGCCCAAATGTTAACACTGGTGGAGTTTGGGGAAAATAGAATCTTGAGATCTGGGAGTTGTAGTTGCTGGGATTTATAGTTCACCTACAATCACAGAGCATTCTGAACCCCGTCAACGATAGAATTGTGCCAAACCTACCACACAGAACCCCCATGTGGGCCACAGCAACGCATAGCAGGGGATGGCTAGTCCTAAAATAATATTATTCTGGGTTGTTGTAGGTTTTTTGGACTGTATGGCCAAGAAAGGAGATTCCATCTTAACATGAGGAAGAACTTCCTGACTGTGAGAGCCGTTCAGCAGTGGAACTCTCTGCCCCGAAGTGTGGTGGAGCCTCCTTCTTTGGAAGCTTTTAAACAGAGGCTGGATGGCCATCTGTCGGGGGTGCTTAGAATGCAATATTCCTGCTTCTTGTACATAATATATTTCTTAATTCCTATTTCTAATATGGTTACATCCAATATATATTTTCTATTTATCATGTATTTTCATCATGCCTTCATCAGACCCATAGCAGCTAAAGTGCGTGCCAATCTGCATTAATTCGACAGCGTCGATGCGCCCCAGATTGCTTTTTCCCAGGCTACAAATACTCTCAATTGCATTGTCTCAATTTGTGAAACTGTTGGAACGTAGCTTTTGGGTCCTTTATTAGGCCAGATAAATCCGAGGCACTTTGTCAGTGTGGTATTTTGCATATCCACATTTGGTATCAAAACTTGACTAATCATAAGAGGAAAATCCTCTTTTCTTTCAAGTCACTCCGGAGGATGGGGAAAAAATCTTGGTGGAATTCTGCCACCTAGTGGGGCATCCTTTGCCAACAATCTCTCCTTCCACAGATATATAAACCCATTTTTTTTCTTCGTGGATTCTGTGAATGCACACATGTGGAGTGTCTGCGATGGCGGCGTAGCTACAGTCGACCTCGTGGACCGAGTGGAGCAAACCGATGCTACCAAGCTCAAAGTTGACGACTGTTGAGGCTGCACTGTCTCTGTCGTCAAAGTACATGGTTGCCTTGAGGATTTTGACGCTCCCGAGGTCATCGATCCTGCCGCCGAAGTCGAAGGCTCAGAGGTCCAAGATCCCGTCAGAGCCAAAGGAGCCAAGGTTTGTTGATAAAGGAGATATTTAAGGCGAACAGCCCTATTCTTCCTAGCTTGGGCCGTCAACGATTGGCAATGACGGCAGGAAGAAGTAACATGGGCATCGCCAAGGCGAAGAAGGCACTTTGAGTGCTTGTCGGAATCAGGAATCTTTCTCATACACTCCGAGCAGTGTTTAAACTGCATTGTCAACATTGGAAGGAAGTTTCCGAAGCGAGCTTTGCAGCGGAAAAAGAGGAACTGCGGAGCATACATGTGGGGGGGGGTGCCTTTTATGCCCTGCAAGGGAACTGGGCGGGGTTACCGCCAAAATTTGGAGTTTAAACTAGGGAAGTTTTCTGTTGGAGCCTGCTCAGGCACAGATAATAATGATGATGACAATGATGATGATGATGATGATGACGATGATGATGATGATGATGATGATGATGACAATCCACTACTCATGACACCCGCGTAGTGATGCCAACAGACTTTACCTGCCCAAAAAAATCAGGAGGCAGAGAGAAGAGGGTTTCTGCAAGGGAAACATACGGTAGAAGAAGAGAAACATGGCCTACCCGATTATGTGAAAGGCAGTCAAGAACCAACATTGAGGGAAGTCAATAGGAGTAAACTGCTTCAAGTACAAAAGGCAAAGAGGGAATACTGTAAAAACACAATCCAGAGCAGAAGAGAAAACTGGCCAAAGAAGGCTCTTCCTGGGAAAAATTGAGAGCCAAATTGACAAAGAAAAAACATGGCTGTGGCTCACAAATGGAACTCTGAAAAAAGTAGACAAAGGCAGCCCAAGAACAAGCCATTGGAAACAATGCCATCAAAGCCAGAATTGAAAAGTCCACAACAGATCCCAGGTGTAGACTCTGCAAGGAAGCAGATGAAACAATAGATCCCATTCTCAGCTGCTGCAAGAAGATTGCGCAGACAGACTCCAAGCAGAGGCACAACACCGTTGCTCAGATGATTCATTGGAACTTGGGCCACAAATCCCATCTGCCTGCAACAAAGAACTGGTGGGATCACAAGCTGGAAAAAGTTACAGAGAATGAACATGCCCAACTCCTCTGGGACTTCCAGATTCAGACAGTTTGGAGCACAACACTCCTGACCTCACAATCGTGTTAAAAAACAAAGTATGGATTGTTGATGTCACAATCCCAGGTGACAGCAGGATTGCAGAGAAACAACTGGAAAAGCTGACACAATATGAGGATTTAAAAATCGAGCTGCAAAGACTTTGGCACAAACCAGTCAAGGTGGTCCCAGTGGTGATCAGCACACTACATGCAGTGCCTAAAGACCTTCGCCTGCACTTAAACACAATCGGCACTGACCAAATTACCATCTGCCAGCTGCAAAAGGCCACCCTACTCAGATCTGCACGCATTATTCACTGATACATCACACAATCCTAGACACTTGGGAAGGGTCCGACATGTGATCCAATTCAACAGCCAGCAGAGTGTCTGCTGTGGACTCATCTTGTTGTGTTTCTAATCATCATCATCATCATCATCATCATCATCATCATCATCATCTTTATTTGTACCCTGCCACCATCTCCCCGAAGGGGACTCGGGGCAGCTAACATGAAGCCAAGCTCAAAATTACAATACAGCAAAATAAAATACAAAGGAGCAGAAAATACCATCAAAATAAATACGTGAAACAACAAAATAAAATAAACAGTTACAAAATAACATGAGAGAGAAATAGAACACAGTGGGCAGGCCATATTCATGGATCCACAGCTTGAAAATACATCCTCCAAAAAGCAAAGCTTGATTTTGTCATTTTATATAAGGGGAACCCATGTTACTCTTCTGTTGTATGCAGTTGTACTGGATCATCCACGGATTTTGGTATCCATGGAAAGCTCCTGAACCAATCCCTAATGCATACTGAGGTCCTATTCTTTCTTCCAAGGAGAAGCAAGGAAATCTCTGGAGGAAACAATAACAAAACACTGGTGGTGTTTGGTTTGTTCTATTTCCCCCTCTCCAATAGATAGATAGATAGATGGATGGATGGATGGATGGATGGATGGATGGATGGATGGATGGATGGATGGATAGGTATAGGTGGATAGGTGGATAGGTAGATAGGAGAAGGAGATAGATAGATAGATAGATAGATAGATAGATAGATGATAGATAGGAGATAGAGATAGATAGGAGAGATAGAAGATAGATAGTAGATAGGTAGATAGGTAGATAGGTAGATAGATAGAAGAGATAGATAGAAGGTATGTAGATAGATAGATAGATAGATAGATAGATAGATAGAGATAGACAGACATGACAGACAGACAGACAGACAGACAGACAGACAGACAGACAGACAGACGGGTAGATGGGTAGATGGGTAGATAGGTAGATAGGTAGATAGAAGAGATAGATAGATAGATAGATAGATAGATAGATAGATAGATAGATAGATAGATAGATAGGTAGATAGATGATAGATAGGTAGATAGGTAGATAGGTAGATAGGTAGATAGGTAGATAGAAGAGATAGATAGGTAGATAGATAGATAGATAGATAGATAGATAGATAGATAGATAGATAGATAGATAGAGATAGACAGACAGACAGACAGACAGACAGACAGACAGACAGACAGACAGATGGGTAGATGGGTAGATGGGTAGATAGGTAGATAGGTAGATAGAAGAGATAGATAGATAGATAGATAGATAGATAGATAGATAGATAGATAGATAGATAGATAGATAGATAGGTAGGTAGGTAGGTAGGTAGGTAGATAGATAGATAGATAGATAGATAGATAGATAGGATAGATAGGATAGATAGATAGATAGATAGATAGATAGATATTGATAGATAGATAGATAGATAGATAGATAGATAGATAGATAGATAGATAGATAGATAGGGTAGGCTTTGGTCAACTTTGGCCCTCCAAGTGTTCTGGACCTCAACTCCCAGCACTCCCAACAGATACTTCACATGTGTGAATTCACAGAGTACCACTCGCAGAAACATGGTTACAGGTAAGTAACCCATCATTTCCTAGTTTCCAACAGACCTCACAACCTCCGAAGATGCCTGCCACAGATGCAGGCAAAACATCAGGAGAGAATGCTTCTTGAACAACCTACAACAACCCAATCTCTCCTTAACATTTCCAAGCACAGGATCCCATAGGATGCAGCCATGGCATTTAAAGTGGTGTCAAACTGCTATAATTCTGCAAATGCAACTTTGGCCTCTGATTGTCCCACAAGGTGGTTTTGTGACTCTTGGGAAGTTAAAAAATGATATTTATGGGGACTTGAGGACATTTCCATCATGTTTTAAGGCCTTTTAAAAAGAATTAAGACATGACCTGGAAATGGTTTGAGTCCTTTAAGACTTCTAGTGCTAAAAAGCCTAGAAGAGTGCAAAAACCTGGAGAAAATGCCCCAGAAGGTATGAAGGACATTAGAATCCAAACTTCCAATTGGCAAGAGTTTCTGTAGCTTGTTGACCTCGGAGGTGTCTATGGACAACGGCGCCTCTTCGGCTTAGAAATGGAGATGAGCACCAACCCCCAGAGTCGGACACAACTTGACTTAATGTCAAGGGAAACCTTTACCTTTACCTTAAGTAAATACAATACTGTAATTACGAATCGCAGGTATACTTGCGACTATTTTCTTGCTGAGTCTTCAGGTTTATCTTTCGAATGGGTGTTTGGTGTTTTGTTAAAGAGCGGACGCTGAGAAATCATGACAGCGGCAGCATTGTAAGACAATGCCTTTCGCTCCACACTTAGTCTAAGCTAAAACGGGACAAATCGCTCGTGCCATTAGACCCTACAAGCTGTCGGCCGTGATGAATGCGCTCTCATTTAGTAATTTCTCGGTTTCTTTCCTTCCATTAGGACTGCTCACCCAGCCGCTATCAGGAGGGGAAAACGCACGGAAAGGCGGATGACGGATTCCCGGTCGGACCCCAGAGGCCTTCGTTGCAAACAATGCAGCAGCGCCGACTTAGGAAGCATCCAAACCCGGATCGGAAGCTGGTTGTGATGAAAGGCCTTCAGAGGAACGGCTGGGGAGGCCGTTTTCCTCGGATGCACAAGCGCAGGCGGAGATTCGTCCTCAAGAAGAGCCCCGTCCGGTTGGAAGTCAACGAAACCTCGCTTCGCCTGCCCATGCTGAAGATGGAGGATGTTGACGACGTCCGGTGGAGGAGCCTCTATCAGACGCAACGGGAGCGGAAGCAAATCATGAAGGACACCTGCTCCAAGTACAAGAGCAACAGCAAGCGCATCGTCACGCCGTACCACGTCTCCCGCATCTTCGTGGAGGACAAGTACCGGGTGCTGTACTGCGAGGTGCCCAAGGCTGGTTGCTCCAACTGGAAGCGGGTCTTGATGGTCCTCAACGGCTTGGCCTCCTCCACCAACGCCATCCAGCACAACACCGTCCATTATGGAAACTACTTGAAGCGCTTGGATGGCTTCGACCGCAAGGGTATCAACCACCGTCTGAGCACTTACACCAAAATGCTCTTTGTCCGTGAACCCTTTGAGAAGCTGGTCTCAGCCTTCCGGGACAAGTTCGAACACCCTAACAACTACTACCACCCCGTCTTTGGCCGTCCCATCGTTTCCAAGTACCGGGCCAACGCCACCAAGGAGGCGCTTCGGACAGGTTCTGGGGTCACCTTCCCGGAGTTCATCCAGTACCTGCTGGACGTGCACCGGCCGGTGGGGATGGACATCCACTGGGAGCACGTCAACCGCCTCTGCAGCCCGTGCGTCATAGACTACGACTTCATCGGGAGGTTCGAAACCATGGAGGAGGACGCCAACTTCTTCCTGCATTTAGTCAAAGCCCCCCAGAACTTGACTTTCCCGCGGTTTAAGGACAGGCACTCCGACGAGGAGCGGACCACCACTCAGATCACGAAACAATATTTCCAGCAACTTTCCCCCTCTCAGAGGCAGCGTAGTTATGATTTCTACTATATGGATTATCTGATGTTTAATTACTCCAAGCCTTTCGAAGACCTGTATTGACAGTCAGTGGGTCGGGAGCCACCGGCACAAGATCCTGGTGGAGCTGCTCCTATGCAATGTGTATACTGCAATTGCAAATAAGATAGCAGTGTCTGTATACCATGGGGAGAAGCAGTCTGAGCAGCCATATGCTGTCTCTTTCTTCCCCAAGGCAGTGGGGGAAATGTCATTCAGTGAGATGGGAAATGGTAGCATTGCCGACATCCAACGACAATTCCCAAAGTTTGGAGTGGGTTATGGGGATAGTTTTCTGCCTTTAAGTAACCTTTGTGATGCCCCATAGACTGCTGAAAATGTCAACATGGGAAGTGTCGAGAAGTTCCACTTCTGATTTGGGAAGATGAGTCACTTTGAGATGTTCGATAGTTGGAGGGAAACACTGGGAACCATTTTCTTGGAAGGCGAATGGCCACTTTTGGATGCTTCCAAGATATATAGTTTGTCTTTTGACCCATTAGAAAAGGGGGATAATGGGACTGGATGGGTCTAAGACCACCAAAAATAGACTTGGGGCCCCAAACCACAATGGCAGATTCAACCTCAAACGCATATAGACTTGCAATGTCTGAGGGCGCTTCCAGACAGAACTAAATCACGAGTTTTAGTGATGGGTCAAAAATCCCGGAATATCAGGAGGGATCCACATACAGACCGGTTGGTTCTGGGATTTCTGCCTCTATTGTCCAAACTTGATGCTTTGTTCCAAGATTTAGAGGTTCCCGAGATGGCTGCCATGTGGATATGCGGAGATTTGGTTATGCGGTGTCCATTCTATTTGCAAGCCAGAAAAACCGTACCCTCCATGCGTTTCATGAAGTTTCTGGTACACAAACAAAGTTTTTGCCTTCTGCTCAAGTTTCCCTTTCTTTTTAGGAACCGACCAATCAGGAACAAGCATCTAAAACCCAGGAACAAACCCAGATTTAAAATCTCTCCTATGTTAAGCTCCACATCCGGGACAATTGCAAGCACAACTCGGGAAGCACATCCGATCCTTGCATTTTTGTTTTTAAGACGACAAGTGAATTCCAGCCTTGCAGTACAATCCTTCTTTCTGTTAGTATTTTCAAAAATATCATTTTGAAACATTGTAAACAATCAAATTACACTTAGAACTGCAAAGCTGCTACAATAAGGGTGTGAATTGTCCATGCTGTATAGTGGCTGCAAGAGGAAAACGGAACAGGAAGTACAATTCGTATCCATGTAACACATTTCTGCAATTCCTGGTTTCCTGTGATCTCGACATTTGCAGCCTTTAGACTTCCGAATGCAGCGTTCCCAATAAAGCACACAGTTCCTTTTGTTTTTTTATATTTCCAGTGTATGTTTGCGTGTTTGCAAAGCACGAAAGGATGTTATCGACCCTTCGCTACGGTAAGTGAGGCTGTTGGGGATTTTGCAGCAATATGGTGAGCGAAAGGCTGTTTCACGAAACTGCTTCCCGTTGCCTTCTGGGAACGTCGGTGGGGAAGCTTTTTCCCTCCATTAAAGTGTGAGTTCAAGGGTGCGCCGACGGAAGGCGGCTCATATTTAATGAACACATGAGTTCAAAATTAAGCCAGATGTTGCAATTCGCGGGATATGAATACATTCCCTTCCATCTCTTATGGCTCCCTGTTGGCACATTCGTCGGCGGGAGGAAAGGGAAGGGAGAAAAAGCCCTGCATCATGGCGCATTTACATCTTTATGCATGTGATTAGAATTCTTTTAATCCTTGGCATTAACATAAATCTTTCGTTTAATCTTAAGTCGTCTTCAGGAATATCAAACGTTGCCTTTAAAGTTGCAAATAAAGCTTCCTGCCCATTAGGGCTCGCTATTTCTAATGGGAACTAACTGGTAGCTGCCTCCTGGATAACCCTCTGGGCCCAGTTCAAGGGGATGAAAAATCGAGATACATAATAGAAGGGAAAATACATATTTATGTGTGTGGCTGGGGTGTCCACTTACACAGACAAGCTCCCACTTCCGCAAATAGCTATAGCTCCCACGATGGCATTCCAGGACAGGAATAACCCTCTGACTTTAAAAACACCAGGAAAACAATCCTTTTATTGAAGATAAGTAAAAACAGCAAAGTAAAAAAGCACTTTAAAGGGATAGGTAAATCCAATTAGGTAAACTCTAAAAGGAAGAGGGGCCGACCATGGGCAAGATGATGGAATTGAACTTGGCAAACAGGATTCCCATGAGAACAAAAACACTAGGAGGGTTTGGTGACCTTGAGTTTGACCTTAAGTTTGGGAGTTGTAGTTCATCTACATCCACAGAGCACTGTGGACTTAAACAATTATGGATCTGAACCTAACTTGGCACTAATATTCCATATACCCAAATATTAACACAGATGGGGTTTGGGGGAAATAGATCTTGACATTTGGGAGTTGTACTTACTGGGATTTATAGTTCACCTACAATCAAAGAGCATTCTGAATTCCACCAATAATGGAATTGAACCAAACATGGCACACAGTTCTCCCATGACCAACAGAAAATACTGGAAGGGTTTGGTGGGCAGTGTACTTTGGTTTTGGAGTTGTAGTTCACCTACATCCAGAGATCACTATGGACTCCAACAATGATGGATCTGGACCAAACTCTACACGAATACTCAATATGCCCAAATGTGCACAATGGTGGAGTTTGGGGGAAATAGAATATTGACATTTGGGAGTTGTAGCTGCTGGGATTTATAGTTCACCTACAATCACAGAGCACAGAGCACCACCAATGATAGAATTGGGCCAACCTCCCACACAGAAACCCCATGTGGGCCACAGCAACGTGTGGCAGGGGACGGCTAGTATATAAATAAAAATGTAATGTTCGTTTGTGGGATTAACGTAATCAAAAACCACTGGACGAATTGACACCAAATTTGGATACAAGACACCTCTCAGGCCAACAAGTGACCATCACTCATAAACACACTGAAAAACACAGCAGAAGGGACTTAAAAAGCCAAAAATTAAAAATACATTACAATGCATGTGCAAAACCACATATATATATAAATATAAATATAAATATATATATATATATATATATATATATATATATATATATATATATATACGCAAAAACACTTATAAACACATATACACAAATATATACACACAAAACGCATATACACTGACTGAGCCACAGCAACACGTGGCAGGGGATGGCTAGTCACTCATAAAAACACAGAAAAACACAGCAAAGGGGACTTAAAAAGCCAAAAATTAAAAATACATTACAATGCATGCGCAAAACCACATATAGATACGCAAACACACATATATACACATATCCAAATTGTATACACACACAAAGCACATATACACAGACATATACACAGCAATGTGTGGCAGGGGACTGCTAGTTATTAATATTCCCATATTCAGTGTCCTCGTTTAGTAGGCAAACGCGGATAGCCACATCGGAAAGGATTCTTCCAACATGCAACTCAATTCATAGAAACTCCAGGTTACAGTTCTTTATGTCACAGGTGCAAAAGGAAAAGGAAAACAACAACAACAAGGATGCAAAAGCTACCGTTTTCCCCTTTTTTGCAAATTGTGCAGGTGCCTCTGTGGGATGCTGCCCTCCTCCGGTGAAATGATGCAAAATCTTTCCCCAAAGGAAATAATTGGAGTTTCTGAACAGACCCCAAAGGCTCACAAAAAGCAGCTTTGGAAAGATTCAGCGCAACACAGAAATGTCACAATGCCACCAGATCCCAGAGACAAAGAGTCATGTCTATGAGTTTGTGCAAAAACTGAAACAACGATTCTCAAACAACGATGCTGAAATTTCACCCTTTGAAATCAATAGGTTTAAACCAGGCCTGGGCAAACTTGGGCCCTCCCTCCAGGTGTTTTGGACTTCAACTCCCACAATTCCTAACAGCCGGTAGGCTGTTAGGAATTGTGGGAGTTGAAGTCCAAAACACCTGGAGGGAGGGCCCAAGCTTGACACCACTCGTTGTCACAGTTCAATGCTATGGAATCCTGGGATTCGTAGTTCTGCAAGGTCTTTCACCTACACCAGACTATAATTCCCTGGATTCTACAGCACTGCTTCAACTGTTGCAGCTCAATGCTATGGAATCCTGGGATTTGTAGTTCTGTAAGGTCCCGAGCTTTCTCTCCCAAAGAGTGCTGGTGATTCACCAAATGTCAACTTCCAAGATTCGAGTTATAGAATCCTGGGATTCGTAGTTCTGCAAAGTTTTAAGACTTGGCTGGCAAATAGCGCTGGCGTGTCACCAAACTACAATTTCCAGGATTGCATCGCACTACTTCATGGCTCACGGAATAGACTCCTAGGATTTGTAGTTCTTCAAGGTCTTGAGTCTTGTCTGCCAAGTAGCCCTGGCACTTCGCCAAACTACAACTTCCAGGATTGCATAGCACCAACTTCAACTCCATGGTTCACGCAATAGACTCCTGGGATTTGTAGTTTTGCAAGGTCTTAGCTTTCTCTGCTAAATAGTTCTGGTGCATCACCAAATTACAACTTCCAGGATTGCATAGCACCAACTTCAATTCCATGGTTAATGCTATGGAATCCTGGGATTCGTAGTTCTGCAAGGTCTTTAGCTTTGTCTATGAAATAGTGCTGGCACTTTGCCAAACTACGACTTCCAGGATCGCATAGCATCACTTCTATGGTTCAAGCTATAGAATATTGAGATTTGTAGTTTTGCAATGTCTTGAGCCTTCTCTGCCATATAGTGCAGGTGTTTCACCAAACTATGACTTCCAGGATTGCGTAGCACCACTTCAACAAGATAGTTCAAGCTATAGACTCCTGGGATTTGTAGTTCTGCAAGTTCTTGAGCCTTCTCTGCCACATAGCGCTGGTGCATCACTAAACTACTACTTCCAGGATTGCGTAGCACCAATTCAACTCCATCGTTCAAGCTAAGGAACCCTGGGGTTTGTAGTTCTGCAAGGTCTTTAGCCTATTCTGCCAAAAAGTGTTGGTGCCAGGCCAAACTAAAACTCCCAAGATCCCATATCACCACTTAAATTTCCACAGCCGCATGCTTTGGAGACATGGCAGTTGTAGTTTTTCAAGGTCTGTAGCCTTCTTTAAGTGCTGGAGCATCACCAAATGACAGTCCCATGATTCCACAGCATTGAGCCATGGCAAAGTGGGGTCATTCCTTCTCCTAGGGGGAGGATTTGGGGAGTTATAGTTCTCTAAGAAGGTGTTCCACACAGGATATTTAATTCCAAAGTGGGAGTTGTAGTTTTTCAAGGTCTGTAGCCTTCTCTAAGTGCTGAAGCATCACCAACTGACAGTCCCATGATTCCACAGCATTGAGCCATGGCAAAGTGGGGTCATTCCTTCTCCTAGGGGGGGATTTGGGGAGTCATAGTTCTCCAAGAAATTTTTCCACACAGGATATTTTATTCCAAAGTGGGAGTTGTAGTTTTTCAAGGTCTGTGGCCTTCTTTAAGTGCTGGAGCATTACCAAATGACAATCCCATGGTTCCATAGCATTGAGCCATGGCAAAGTGGTATCATTCCTTCTCCTAGGGGGAATTTGGGGAGTTATAGTTCTCCAAGAAGCTTTTCCACACAGGATATTTTATTCCAAAGTGGGAGTTGTAGTTTTCCAAGGTCTGTATCCTTCTTTAAGTGCTGGAGCATCACCAAATGAGAGTCCCATGGTTCCATAGCATTGAGCCAAGGCAAAGTGGTATCATTCCTTCTTCTAGGGGGGATTTGGGGAGTTATAGTTCTCCAAGAAGCTTTTCCGCACAGGATATTAATTCCAAAGCCGACAAGGGCTAAAGATGGCTCTTCCTGCAGTGCAAAACTAAAGCAAAACTAAAGGATCCTAATGCCAAGACTGCTCCGGAAGGTGATGTCCTATCTAAAACTGTGGATCATTATCCGGATGGGACTCAGACCGCGATCTTTTCGACCATCAGGCCTGGAAGGACTGCGGAGGGCAACCCAAGGCAGTGATCACCATTTTCCCCGCCGTAATTACCGCGTAATGAAACTTAATTTCTTTCCACCCCGGATGCCTTTCACCCTTTGCCTTCAGCACGCTCCGCGAATAGCGATTTTAATAATGAGGAGGTTGCACACAGAGATCTGGCTTTTCCCATAGAGTTCCATGCAGAGCGCACTGGGTTGTCGAATTCAAAACACAATCCCAGGCAAAATTGTTTAAGAATCAGAGGAAATAATATTTCAAAGCAAAGGTGCATTTTTTCCTTCCCTTCCTAGTTGACAGCACACGCCTTGATGGCGTCTTGATTACTCCATTGTGCATCACTACATAGGAAAATGGCCTTGATTCCAGGGTTG